TACTAGCCACTGGCCAGTCCGTTTCACCACAATCTTCTCGCCGATCTTCCTACAGATCTAGGACTCCACCTCACTCTATTATATGTGATCCTACGTTAGAAGAGGAAGAAGGTATCGTATTCTCGGATGCAGAAATTAGATACTGGATGGTGAATGGATTGGAACTTGCTTCCCCGTCTAAGAACGAGAACTCAGCTCATACTTATTTGATGAAGGAAGATGATGCGGACACTATCTCCTTACCTCCTATTGACCCGATAGCAGCGGTTCCAGCTAATCTGGATACAGCCTTTACCAAATCTACGAAATTCCAATCAACACATTTCCCGGTTTTCAACGCCAAGAAATTTGCAGGTCACAATATGGACTCCTTTTTCAAGGCTCAAGAGATTGATGACAACTCTAAGTTAATCAGTGATGCCAAGTCCAGGAATTACAGAATTGATGATCGCAAACTAGCCCAGTTGGATACCATTTCTAGGAGAATGTTTTTTGGATTGAATAGATCTAGAACTGTCAATGAAACTCTCATCACCAAGTTCAAAGATTCTACAGAGGAGGAAGATAGAATGATCTACTCGGCTCTACTCATGCAGAAAAGAGACCAACAGTTCCTTACAGATCACTTGTCAGCGCTTACTGCAGCTACTACCATGGCTCGTCGTCAGGGTCTACTAGCCTCCTGCAATTGGGATAATCAATTTACGGAATCCCTCTACGCTGCCCCATGGTCATCGCCCTTACTCTTTGGTGGTAACATAGACAAGGTCTCCAAAGAGGTGTCTAAGGACTCTAGAGAGGTGCTTATGATCAAGTCCATGGATACGTTAGCTTAATGTCATTAAGCAATCATCCTTGAGATACTCTGGCAAGTCTAAATTCTCTGGACTACAGAAAGCACAGGACAAGAAATTGGCTACAGCAAAAGGTCCCAAGGAATCTTTTCGTCGCCCATACAGCAATTTCAGAGGAGGATCAGCAAGAGGCAGATCATCCAGAGGTTCCCGCGGATTTAGACGATGAAATACAGGTTCGGAACGACTGGAGTCTTCCACCCCCAGCCGTTCCAGTACAACTTTCTCAAGTGGGTGGACGCCTTCAGCTGCACTGGGAAAACTGGGGATTACTACAAGATCCTTATGTATCCAACATCCTACAGCACGGATATCAAATACAACTCAAGGCCATACCTCCGTTAACAGTCATCCCTCTAAGGTTCGACTTCCAACCGGCACAACTACCAATGTTAAGAGAAACAGTAGCTACTCTTCTAAACAAACAGGCCTTAGAAGTTCTGGATCAGCTAAACATCGCATTCAGGTTTCTACTCCCCAGTTTTCCTAGTGCCCAAGAAAAATTCCAAGGAAAAGTTTCGCCTCATATACAACATGAGCATCTTCAACAAAGACTATCTAAGCAAACCGCCAGCGCTTTCGATGATACACTTACCGCAACTTCGCACTTAATTCGCCCCAAAGATTACATGGCCAGCATAGATTTGCAAGACGATATCTACACATTCCGATTCATCCCAATTCAAGGAAATATCTAAGATTTATCCTAGACGGGAAACATTACCAATGGAAAGTACTTCCCTTCAGAATCTCATCGGCACCTTGGGTATTCACAAGAGTGACGAAGCCTATTGTCTCATACCTACATCGCCAAGGTCTTCGCGAGCGATTTTACCTAGACGACGGGATACAAGTGGATCCAGATCCACAGCGTCTCAGACTACAGCTGAACTTTATAATCAAGTTACTAACTCAACTAGGATGGTTAGTAAATCTACTCAAGTCGGACCTAGAACCAACGCAAGATCTGCAATTTCTAGGTATACGATTTCTAACAGCCCAGAATCGTATAGTAGTCCCGGAGGACAGATGGATCAAGATCCAACAGTTAATCCCACAAGCCTTACTCTCTCCGCTACCACTACGACAGTGGCAGATCCTATTGGGACTACTCACATCAGCTCAAGACTTGACAGTCAGAGGCAGGCTTCAATTACGTCCGTTACAAGTCCTCATCAATGCGCATCTCGAGGACCCTCTACCATTCAGTCTACCAGATCACGCCAAACCTCATCTACTCTGGTGGACCAAGAGATTGAATGTTTATGTAGGGCGCCTCCTTAATAGAGCCGAATCGAAACACATCTCTACGAGACGCCACTACTACAAGGTTGGGGAGCCCACTCGCCAACAGGACAGGGCCAGGCCTATGGAGCAATCAAGAGAGCAAATGTCACATAAATCTGCTAGAGATGCAAGCAGTCATAAACGCCATAAGTCACTGGAGCAACCTACTACAGAACGCTCAGTTGATGATTCACACAGACAATTCGACAGTGGCATTTTATGTGAACAAACAAGGCTCAACAAGGTCACCGAACCTACTGTCTCTATGTTTCCGATTATTCGATCTAATCGACAATCTAAACATACATGTCAGAGCTTGCCACATTCCAGGAGCAAAGAATGTATTAGCAGACGCTTCTCTCGCCACACCTACCGTCGCCGACAGAATGGATGCTCCACACAGAGATATTCACTCAAATAATCATGGAAATAGGATCTCCACTAGTAGACCTATTCGCCACTGATTCAACAAACAACTGACAACATTTGTATTCGCCAGTTCCAGACCCACTAGCATGGGCAACGGACGACTAAGCATATCGTGGAGGGACTCAACGCCAGACGCTTTCCCGCCACCAGTGTTAATCCCAATAAGTCTTACGAAAAATCAGTCAAACGCAGAGCCTCCATCTGATTTTAGTCGCGCCCTACTGGCCAGCGAGAACGTGGTTTCCAAATCTTATTCAAGAAATCGGACAACCAATTCTACAACTTCCAGAACGCTCGAATCTATTGATACATCCGCACACCAAACAAGCGCACGGAAAACCAGAAGTATTCCAACTTCACGTATGGATTGTATCAAGGCATGTCTGAATAAGAGAGGTTATTCAGCCAGAGCGGCAAAAGCAGTCACGCTGCCCTGCGTAACTCAACTCGCAACTTATACGATGACAAATGGCACAGTTTTGTCAATTATGCTGCAAAGAAAGGATTTACAGCCAGATATGCTACTCATCCTCAAGTGGCGGACTACTTATGTTATCTACGACAAACTAAGAATCTAAAAGGCTCAACTTTGTCCACTTATCTTGCAGCAATAAGCTCTGTCATAACTATGAGAACGGGCGTCAAGTTAACAAAGACCCCAGAGTTACTCGCTTTGCTACGAGCATTCCGATTGGAGGATCAGAAACGGAAGTTTCACGCTCCAGCTTGGGATCTAAATATAGTGCTCCAACACCTCACAAGTGAGGCTTATGAACCGTTAGAATCTACATCGTTTGAATCACTGACCCAGAAAACATTGTTCCTGTTAGCACTAGCTACGGCTGCCAGGATGTCAGAGATTCAAGCTTTGGATTACGAGAGAACACGCTTTGATGATATTCATAACATTGTTCATCTGGGACTACGCTGGGATTTTATAGCTAAGAACCAATTGCCAGGTCAACCAGACAGATTATTCCACGTCCCAGCTCTCTCATCCATACTTGGACCTCATGATACGATGGATCTATCACTATGCCCAGTAAGAGCACTGAAAATATATCTCCACCGATCCAAACAGAGGAGAGCAAAATTCAAGAGATTATTTATCCCTCTATCTACAGCTACGCAGACGGAAGTCTCAATGCACTACTATCTCCATTTGATCAGAACTGTCATACCACGTGCCTACAAGGCTGCAGGACTCGACCCTCCAAGAGCATCTAATCCTCATGAAATTAGAGCTTAGCATCAACACTTGCTCTACACGGCAACTGCTCTTTGAATACCATAATGGAGGGTTGTTTGCCAACCACTATCTGAGAGATATCACCACCGAGGACGTCTCAGGTATCCACCATTTCGGTCCCATGGTCCTCGCTCAACAGTTGATAGTTCCTCGGAGAAGATAAGTCAATCTTACAGATTTTATACTTATCTGATATCAGTACTAAATAGCTACATGCTATATATATATTTTGCTTAAGTTCAATCTATTATCTTAAGCTCAGTACTATGGTTATTATATCATACAATATATTAGCTAACAACTCTAAGGAGTTTTGCTATTATATTTAGCTTAAGTTTCATCATATCTTAAGCTCAGTAATATGGTCACATTTTATAAATGTATTAGCTAACAAACTCTACGGAGTTTTTGCTATTATATAGCTTAAGTTAAATTATATCTTAAGCACAGTACTATACTCATATAGCTTAAGTTTATGCATATCTTAAGCTTAGTACTTTGGTTACTTCATAAAAGTATATTAACTATAAACTCAAAGGAGTTTATGCTATCACATTAACAACTTAAGTCTACTAGTCTTAAGCTTTGTATTAATGTTGTATATACTTTATCATAATAATTATATTGTAATAACCTATATATGGCAGCTGATAAGTTAGCAGCAGGAATTCATCAGTTCAGTGCCTTTATGAAGTTCCTATAGGGTTATTACAGTCATTACAGTTCAAATCACTAATTATCCAAATCCAAAGTATTATATATTCCCACCTCCATAGCCGTCGGATTCTACAAGCAAATAAGCATGAGTCAGGATAAGGAAAAATATGTAATTTTCTGAGTAAAATTGATATTTTATACTTATCCTGACTCATGAGGTAAGCCCTCCCATCCTCCCCACATAACACTTTGGATTTCCCTGTAAATTCAAGTGTTGGGCTCGCTATAAAAGGAGAGAGTGAGGCACATGGCGGGAGGTGGCGCTCCTCGCTCCCCGCCATGAGGGGAAAGATAACTCGTGGTGAGTACTAATTAGTGATTTTACATTGAAGGGAACTTCATTTGGGAGATACAAGTGTTCCACTGTGTTCGCAAAGAAGAAGAAGACAAGCAAATAAGCATGAGTCAGGATAAGTATAAAATATCAATTTTACTCAGAAAATTACATTGTTTGTCCTATGCAGGAAGTGATAGACCTGACAACAGAGCTGATAGTTGGCAAACTAACAGCAGCAGCTGATGGGGATGAAGGCCATCATGATGGTGTTGGTGAGGGAGAACCTACTGTGTCAGAACACAGCTGGAGTGTGGGGACAAGTGCTCAGCACATTCAGGAATGTATACACAAGTAACCTATCTATCAGAAACACTGCGTTCTGAATACAGTTAGACTAGACAAGTATTTGCCACTTTGTCATTGACAATATCTTATGTGAGATATTGTCAATACTCCAATAATTGTTAATGACATTTAGCTTCAGATAATAGCAGATTATTAATATTTAGACAGCCTATAGCCTTGAATGTCACCTTTTCAGACACCTCAACATTAATGTATTCTTGCTTTTTCATTTCACCAGATACTCCTGCACTAATGTATTCTTGCTTTGTAGACATCATTTCCCCAGATACTCCTGCACTAATACATCTTCACCTTTTGTACTGTATTTGTTCTCACCATTAAATACATCACCTCCACAGAGACTCCTGCACTTGTTTATTCAGCACATCTGCTTTGTTTTGCCAGGTACTATGAGGCCTTGATTGATGAGATCCTGGATGACGGGACATGCACTATCACGTTTGATGACTATGGGAACACAGACGTTACACAAGTTAGTCAATTTTTCCCTATCGCTACTCATGATTATTGCTTATCTCCCCTTTCTCCTGAGGTATGATGGAAACCTCCGTCCTATGTTCCCAAGTACAGTAAGTACACTTACTGTATTATCCAAGATGACGATATTGATACCTTAACCATTCCGCTGATGAACCGATATCTCAAGTGGCACATGCCTTGCAGTCAGCCTTCGCAAAGGCTACTAAGGCCAAGGGGTTACCAACACCATCATTCAACTAGAAGAAGTTCCCACTTCACAATATGGAGGTCTTCAACAAGGCACCAGAGATCAATGAAGACTACTCCCTTAAGAGCAACTCCAAGATGAAATCCTACAGAGAGGAGGATAAAAAGCTGGCTCAGCTAGATACTACTACCAGAAGTCATATTTATTGTAGCTGGACGATCAAATGTCAACAAACTGGCATGCTTATTTCACCTTATTCCATGCGCGTACATCTTGCACTTACCATGTTCGTGAGGGTACGCTTTTCGCTCCAACCATGATAGCATCAACTTCACATTATTCTCAACAATCACTAACTGATTACCGCCTCGTCATCCATGAACCGCTAATTTACAGTAACATCAGTGAAAACGTGTGTGAAATGGCATGCTTATTTCACCTCATTCCATGCACGTGCAACTTCCACTTACCATGTTTGCAAGAGTCCATATAGCCTTAGTGTTGATTTCACATTTATAGAGTAAAACCTGTAATTAAAATTACACAATGCCAGGATATATTTCTTTTGGTAAAATAGTAGTTTTAGATATTATATTTTACCAATCACTGCGTCAGAATTCATCCTGTTATACTACCAGTAGATCACCGGGAAACGTGTCACATCTGATTACTATTTCCAGCTCTATATACGAGACAAATACACACGGTAATCTTACTTGTCAACAACCTGTCTAGTGATGTTAATTGCAAATTTGACGTCTTCAGTGTTGTTTTATCTTGTTCGTTCACTTGAAATGATACGATGTCATTTTCTTACTGGAAAGAAAGTTTAACAAAAGTGTTACCCGTAGATAAGCCGACACCCTTCTACAGGCTGCTTATTATCCCCCGAAACGCGTTTTGCGGAGGGTATTAAAATGGACTCCGTCTGTCCATCCGTGCACGTTTGTCTTTTCCGGAACAGAACTCTAAAAGCATTCAATATTTCATCACCAAACTTGGCACATACATTGATCTGGTGGTGTACTGGTGCCTTTTGGCAGTTTTGGAATTCTGAATAAAATATTTTTGGCGTTTCCATGACAACAAGTTCGACTTAGACTGAAATTGGTGGTAGTGCTCTCTTCCGGAGCAGAACTCTAAAAGCATTCAATATTTCTTCACCAAACTTGGCACATAGATTGGTCTGGTGGTGTACTGGTGCCTTTTGGTAGTTTTGGAATTCTGATTAAACATTGGTGGTTGTGTTTTTTCGAACGCTTCCATGGCAACAAGTTTGACTTAGACTGAAATTGGTGGTTGTGTTCTTTTCCGGAGCAGAACTCTAAAACCGTTGACTATTTCTTCACCAAACTTGGCACATAGATTGGTCTGGTGGTGTACTGGTGCCTTTTGGTAGTTTTGGAATTCTGAATAAAATATTTTTGGCGTTTCCATTGCAACAAGTTTGACTGAGACTGAAATTGGTGATAGTGCTCCTTTCAATGCTCTCCTTCCACTTTTCTATATACACACCTAAATATTTGCCATAATCATAACTCGTAGACATAATCATGAAGAGTATTTTGCCATTGCGGGGGATATTGATGACTTTGTCTTGTTTGGTCTTAAAAATTAGGCTTATCTATGGTAATATACAGTAGCTTCGTTTATTGCCCAGAACATGGCCAGCTCGTAAAAGGCCCATTTGGTGAAACAAAATATACATATTCATTTTCTGTCAGCTACAGTTCATTTTTTAGGCATGAGTAGACACAATATGATTGTGATTGCTGTGAATAATGCGGACCCAAATTATAACTGCCAGTTGTCTTGTGATCTGAGTTAAACGCGATTGGGACCCCATTGTGGGGTGTCAGCTTATGTACAGAACATACCATTTTGATACTGATTTCAAGGGTCCAGTTTGGGGGTCGTCTTATCTATGAGATCAGCTTATCTAGGGTAATATATGGTATGCCGAATACTTTGAAGAACCCTCAGACTGAGACCTGGTCCAAAGGGGAAGAATCTCTTCACATCAACCGACCGGTGTTAGAGGCAGTTATGAGAGCCATAACTCACTGGTCCCACCTCCTCAGAAACGAGTTCCTCATGATGCACACTGACAACACAGCAGTGGCTTTCTACATAAGTCTGCAAGGCACGACAAGATTGGAGCCCCTGCTAGAACTAACATTGCGTCTCTACAAGTTGACATACAGTCTTAACTTAGGAATAAAGGCCAGGCATATTCTTGAGCCACCAACGTATTAGCAGATGCATTGTCCAGACCAAACAGACCATCCCCAACAGAATTGATGCCACATCCAGAGGCTTTACAACTGGTGATGCGAGAACAGGGTTGTCCGCAGATAGACCTATTTGTGACAGGGTTCAACAGTCAATCAACCTTTGTCTCACCGGTTCCAGATCCACTAGCCTGGAACCTAGATGCCCTAGCAATATCATGGGAAGGTCGCATTCCCACCACCTGTACTTCTACCAAGAGTCATATGGAAGATCACCCAGATGAAGATCCTGAGACTACTGGCCATCATGAACATGGTTTCCAAACCTCATCAGACTACTCGGACAGCTAAGTCTAAGACTCGCAAACTGGCCCAACCATCTCATACATGCTCAAACAAGACAAGCTTATGCGAGTCCAGAAAGGTTCCAGTTAAACGTATTATGAACGGCCTTACCAGAAGAGGATATTGAGCTAGAGCAGCAAACTCCGTCACCTTAGCTCTCAGATGATCTACTTGAAATCTTTATGATAACAAGTGGAAGAGCTTTCACCAGTTTGAAACCGGGAATGGTTCTCAGCGACCAGGGCTATGTATCCTCAAGTGGCGGAGTATTTGTCATCTTAGAGTTTCCAGACATCTTAAAGGCTCTACAGTGACTACGTACCTGGCAGCCTTAAGTTCGGTCCTCACTATGAATTCAGGGCTGAAGCTCACCAAGGTCCCGGAACTTGTCGCACTGCTGAGATCCTTCAGACTAGCAGAGTCTATTTTAGACCGCGCCCTTGCACCATTGACGCATAGTAGTAAAAAAATGACGCACTATTCCTTGACCTCTTGGGACCAGTTGGCAGACCACAAAAATAAAATGACTCGTAACGATCATGCATAAACATACCTTGCCAAACTTTCCAGTATTTTCAACTTGTTTTCACACAGCCCAAAACGTTGTGAAACATATATCAAGAAGTTGTTATCCATAAGATTTGTCTTGTATTACTACATCAACTGTCTAAATGCCTTTGAAGAATTTCATCAGACATCTACATTGAGATGAAGCAGACTCCTCAACTTCAACTCAGCCACCAACTCCAAGATTATCAAGATGAAGAACCACCTCACCTTCCTACTCTGATGCAGAACTAACAACATCGTACCTAATGGACTCCAATCTCCTGTCCAGACCTGCACCCCATCCATCTCGAAAATTCTACAAATCAAGCCAGCAGCAGAATCCTCAAGTTCCAAGTCCAGCAACTGAGACAGAAGAAAGCCTCCCTGGAGGATAACCTTCACAGATCTTCAGCCAATCTACAAGCCACCTTCAGCCCTGACCTCCTGCAGAAAGTCCAGTCACTGACAACCACCAGCAATGCATCCCCCATGATAAGATGAAACAACGCCAGACCAAGAAATTCAACAACCTCCAGCAGCATGCACCAGCTCACTCATCCCATTCCAGCGTCGCCACCATCAGCCATGAAGCATACTACAAGAAAACGTAGTCAACCTCAGCTCCAAACCACTGACGAGACATCCTCCTTTCAAAAAGCCTGAAATTTGTCCCCACCTGCAGCACAATCAAGTCAGACAAATTCATCATCAGCATCGAAAGCAGCCTCCAACAACTGGCACCCAGTCGCAACGTAGATTACCTTCAGCACCAAATAGCTCACCTCATCAAACAGTCTCCTAAGGAACGCAGCAATCTCTCATTACAAGAAAAGAAGGCCATCCAAGAACTCCGCAACGATAAGACCCTCACCATCACCGAAGCGGACAAGGCGAAGGCAGCAGTCATCATGGACACTCCTGAATTCCATGACCTTGTGAACAAAACCCTCAGTGACACCTCAACCTAGATTATCAGGCTGAATGGTCAGCTATGATGTTAACTTATTTACAAACATTCCATTATATGAAGCTCTTGACATTCGCTGTGCAAAATTAGACAGTTGTATTGACACAAAACTCAGCATAGACAGTATAATTGAATTGGTATCCAGCTGTTTTCAGACTTCATATTTCACATGGCAGAACAACATCTATCAGCAGATTCATGGGCTCCCTATGGGTATCAGTTGAGAATGCCATTTCATCTCTGGAGGAAGTTTGTGATGAAAAGGAACACAGAAAACCTAACTACTTGGATCAGCTGCAAATTGATGGAACACTTAATGAATGAGGAAAGGCTCAGCTCAAGTCCAATCATCTCCTGAAAGGAAGAAATGTCATTGAAAATATCAGAAATAACTTCATACAAGCAGTAATACTAAATCTTGAGACAACATTTCCAAACAACAGTATATATGCCTTTGGTGTACTTGGTATGTGTTCAGTTTCATTTTTCACAAGTGACCTGGAAATGTGGGGAAATCTGAAATTAGGGCAGCTCTTGGAACACTTTGGCAGTGACAAATCACGAGTTGTTGATGCTGATGATGCACGGGTGGAATGGGGAAAACCGAAGAAGCTAGTTGTCAACTCAGGTTGTCCAAGAGATAACATGCAGAATCTGTGGAGTTTAATACACATCTATAGTCCATTTGGTTTCAAATGAGAACCATGAATGAT